GTAAGAAAGAGTATATACACTTAGTGTGTTCGTTGTGCGAATAAATTGTAGTACTACATTTATTCGTTGTTGATCATTTTATCTTAGGAGATAGACGTCCACATTCTGTTAGTACCATGGAGAGGACGAATCTGTCTTAAGGACACGGTGTCAAACACTGGACTTGATCAGAATATTGTTCAAGAAATTAATCAAGTAAGTTTTTAATTTTCTATTTTATTTATTTAAATCAGATTTTGATTTTGTTTTTGTAACAAAATAAAATTTTGTTTTTATTTATTTATTTTTATTTATTGGTTTGATTTTTGTAATCAAACAATCTCTCTCATTTCCTTTATTTCTTTTGTATTCTGTTTGTTGTTTAGTACACAAACAGAATTTATTTTTTCTAGAGGTTCGGTTTTTCTTTCAACCGATTTAAATGGTACCTTAGTTAGTTTCTCTTCTACACAAATCTCACATTTGTGATTAGGATTAATTTTAAACTTTGGTATATAATCCTAAATTTGTTAAAACTAGAGGAGGCAAAAAGTATTTCATAACATTTATTGATGATTGCATAAGATATTGTTATGTTTATTTACTTAGAAGTAAAGATGAAGCTTTAGAAATGTTTAAATTCTACAAAACTGAAGTTGAAAATCAACTTGAAAAAACCATTAAAATGGTTAGAAGTGATAGGGGTGGTGATGCACCATTAAATGAATTTTGTGCACAATATGGCATTATTCATCAAATAATAGCACCCTATTTTCCACAGCAAAATGGAATTGCTGAAAGGAAGAATAGAACCCTTAAAGAAATGATGAATGCCATGTTACTAAATTCAGGTTTACCGCAGAATTTGTGGAGGGAAGCAATATTGTCTACTAATTATGTTCTTAACAAAATACCTCACAAGAAAACCAATAGCACACCTTATGAATTATGGAAAGGTCGACCACCTTATTATAAATACTTAAAAGTATGGTGGTGTTTGTTCTTAAAAAGACTAAGATAGGACAAAAAATAATGGATTGTGTGTTTATTAATTATGCTCAGAATAGTAATGCATATCGGTTTTTGACTTATAAATCAAAAATACCTGATATAAATGTGAACACTATTATAGAGTCAAGGAATGCTGTATTTTTTGAACATGTCTTTCCTTACAAGAAATGACAGGAATTAAGTTCACAGAAAAGAACTTATGATTGTATACAAAGTCAAGAGACTAATGACAATCAAACACAAGAGACTAGTAATGGTCTCGACCAATAGAATTTAACTGATGATGAACCAAGACGAAGTAACAGAGCAAGAACATCAAAATCCTTTGGTCCAGATTTTCTGACATAACTGTTAGAAAATGAACCTCAAAGCTTCAAGGAAACAATGACAAATCCTGAAGAACTTTTGTGAAAATAGGCTGTTAATAATGAAATTGAATCTATTATGCAAAATCATACTTGGAAATTGGTGGATCTTCCACCTGGTTCTAAACCTCTTGGATATAAGTGGATATTCAAGAGAAAAATGAAAGCAGATGGTTTAATTGACAAATATAAAACAAGACTTGTAGTAAAAGGTTACAGACAAAAGGAAGGTCTGGACTATTTTGACACATATTCTTCTGTGACAAGAATAACATCCATTCGCATGTTTATTGCTATAGTAGTGTTGTTTAATTTAGAAATACATCAAATGGATGTTAAGACATCTTTCTTAAACAGTGATCTAAATGAAGATATCTATATGAAGCAACCCGAAGGGTTTGTAATATCGAGGCAAGAAAAAAAAGTTTGTCGGCTTGTAAAATCTCTTTATGGATTAAAACAAGCACCTAAGCAATGGCATGAAAAATTTGATCATGTTATGCTTACTAATGGATTTAAGATAAACGAATGTGACAAGTGCGTCTATGTTAAAAATACTGACCAAGGATATGTCAATGTTTGCCTTTATGTGGATGACATGCTTATCATTGGAAGCATTCAGAATATGATCAAATCAACTAAGTAAATGCTGAATAGAAGATTTGATATGAAAGATATGGGGGTCGCATATGTTATATTAGGAATGAAAATTACTAAAACATCTGACGGATATGCATTATCTCAATCACATTATATTGAGAAAATTCTTGAAAAATTTATCAAGGATGATATGAATGTAGCTAGAGCACCTGTAGATATCAATCTTTATTTATCGAAAAATAAAGGTGATGAGGTGTCTCAATTAAAATACTCTAAAATCATTGGAAACCTAATATACCTAATGAATTGTACTCGTCCTGATATAGCTTATGCAGTCAGTAAATTGAGTAGGTACACTAGTAACCCAGGAGAAGACCATTGGAAAGAGATCATTCGAGTTCTTAGATATCTAAGATTTACCCGTGATCATGGTTTGAACTTTACTGGATATCCAGCAATACTCGAAGGTTATTGTGATGCCAATTGGATATCAGATACTAAAGATTCAAAATCCACTAGTGGATATGTCTTTACTCTGGGAGGCGCTGTTGTTTCTTGGAAATCCACGAAACAAACATGCATCGCACGATTCATAATGGAATCTGAGTTCATTGCTTTAGACAAAGCAGAAGAAGAGGCAAAATGGCTTCGTCACTTCTTAGAAAATATTCCAATGTAGCCAAACCTGTGCTAGCTATTTGCATTCATTGTAATAGTTAATCTGCAATAGGCAGGGCACAAAATCATATGTATAATGGTAAGTCACGACATATACCGTAAGGTAAGTGCTCTCAAATGGAATAATCTCAATAGATTATATAAAATCTAAAGAGAATATTGCGGATCCGCTAAACAAAAAGTTTGATCAGAGAGCAAATAAGGGAAAGTTCATCGAAGGGAATGTGATTAAAGCCTATTACACCAGAGTCATCATACTGGTAACCCTACTTAGATGACTGGAGATCCCAACAACAAAGTTCAAATGGACAAATAAGTTATGTATGGCTCGTCAGAAATCATTAAAGGGGTCTATCTCCTATCCATTCCTATGATGAGAGTGATATCTGCAACATGTGTTGTATGTAGGGGATTTAGGGTAAGCTATACTTTTAATGATTACTTATATCTTGAAAAACCTAGAGCGGTATTTTTCAAGGGAAGTATTTGAGAGACTTGAAATAAGGATCACCTATATGAATGTAAAGGGGCCGCTTCTATGAGAATTGATAAGGCTAAATTTTCTAAAGCACTCATGAAACACCAGGACCTGCCCAAGGCCAAAACGGGCACAACCGTGAGAACTAAGCTGCGTTTGGAGATATTCTGTGTGAATTCTATTATCTTGGTTTATACAAACGGCTGAACAGTTCAAGGCATCACGTCCACTGATTAGTTAGTAAGTCCAATAGGCTTTCACTAGGGAAGGTTCAAAGTCGAAAGCTACCTATCCCGATGCAGGGTATTTCCTTAATGTACTCTCTCTTTGTCTGCATGTTGTTGCATGTCTTTTCCGTAAATTTCATTCATGTAGGGGATTGTTGGAAATTTTGAATTAAAATTTGCTCCAATGGTTGTGTCTCTTGAGATGGAAGGGTATGTCCTTTTGAAGGGTCACAACCTTTCTAAAAAGTCACATAGAAGTCTATAAATTTCATCTCCCTCACTTCAAATTGTATAGAGAATTGTCATTTTCTTCTTCACTTTACATTTATTCTTCATATTTCCTTAATCTAATTTTCCTATAAAGAGAGTACATACACAGCGAAGTTCGCTAGGCTTGTAATAGTAGTGCTGCTAGTGCAAGACATTGATCATTGTATCTTAGGAGATAGACGTCCATTGAATCCTAAGTACCGGTAGGAAGACGAATCTGTCTTAAGGAAAGAGAGTTGTCACACACTGGACTTGGTCAGAATATTGTTCAAGAAATTAATCAAGTAAGTTGTTAATTTTCTGTTTTATTTATTTAAATCAGATTTTGATTTTATTTTTGTAATAAAATAAAAATCTAATTTTTTTTTTATTGATTTGATTTTTGTAATCAAACAATCTCTCTTTTTTTTTATTTCTTTTGTATTTGTTTATTGTTTAGTACACAAACAAAATTCAGTGAAAATTGTCCAATAATTAAATTACTCATCGCCCTCTAATACCACGATATTCAATCCTCTCATTAAATGGCGAACAAACAAACAACTATGTTGGCGGAAATAAAGAAGTTAATCTTCTTGTTAATACATATATCTAGCCAAGTAATTTTTTTATTACAAAGTGTCACAATGAAGTGAAGCTATTGATTGACAATTTGATTGTAACTCAAACTATATGATAACATCGTACATATATTAAAGAAAGTAAATTTTTTTATTACAAAGTATCATAAAGCTACTGAGTATAGCTATTGACTAACGATTTGATTGTAACTCAAAATATATTATATATGACAGCATAGTTGGTATCCCCATTAACAAAAAAAAATCAAAATCAAAATCAAAATAAAAATCAAAAATCAAAAAAATGAGTTAGCTTTGTATATATATGTATATATATATTGAAGTTGTAAAATTAAGAGTAGTTTGGAATGTTCTAAATAAGTATAGTTTTTGACTTTTTATAAATAAATAAAAAAAATGTGTAGAAAAGTAGTGGATAAAAAAGTAGAGAAAAAATATTGATAGATATTGATTAATGTGACCCAAATAAATGTATGTGTGTAAAAAAAATAAACTTTTTTAGTACATGCCAAACACCTACTTAGTCTCAAATAAACTGGCCAAGTTCATCGACAGGGAGATAAACTCAAATAAAGACTTGATTATGTTAAAGTATTTAACTAAAAACTAATTAGAAATGAGTGAAAAACGGTGTGGAATATATCAACCAAATTTAGATGGTTTAAAGAAACGATACAGGACAAGTATGTCAAAATATCTGTTGCTTATTTATTTATTTTTTTTGTGATAGATTCCGTAGTCGATTTTGTTTCGACTTATAGAAAGAGTACATGTGTACACACACCAGATGAGGAAAGCCCCAATACCTGCAATAAATCTAACTCTCCTTGGCTATATATATAGCAATTGAGTGTGGAAAAAGGAGTTGTAGAAATAAAAAAACAAAAAATAAATAAAACCAAAACATGGCAAGTGAAGAGCTTATGAGTTGCAGAGACAAGAGATGGTCTCTCAAGGGCATGACTGCTCTTGTCACTGGTGGTACCAGAGGCATCGGGTCAGTCAATCACTACCCATTATCTATCTCTCAATCGTTCCCTGTTATCAAATTTCTCTATTTTCTATCTCAATATACACTCACAGTCTTACAACTATATGAGAATCTTGAAATACACAAATTTTAAAACACGATCAATTGGGTTGTTTTTGTTTTGTGAAAATGGATTTTCAGATATGCCATAGTGGAAGAACTAGCAGGATTTGGAGCTGTTGTACATACATGCTCTAGGAACCAGAAAGAGATTGATGAGAGGTTAAAAGAATGGGCAGGTAAGGGATACAAAGTGAGTGGTTCAGCTTGTGACTTGTCATCAAGAGCTCAACAGGAGGAGCTGATGAAAACCGTGTGTTCTGTCTTTGATGGCAAGCTCAACATCCTTGTAAGTTCAATATATATATATATATATAGCACTCTCAAATGGTCAGGAATGTCTCTCCACAAAATTCTTTTCAACTGTCTCAATACATTTCCAGTCACGATTGTGTCTCAAGATTAACCAAAATCTCAAAACACCAAACATGCGGTTGAAAATGTATTAAAGTTCCATTTGATTGTGGCTTAAAAGTCGACTTACTGAAGGTCGACTTATTGGCTTAAAGCTAAAAAAAAACGTGGACTCATTTGGCAAACTTGTCAAAAAAGTCTAGTTACTCTTTACAAAACCATTAAAAATTTCAAAAAAGCTAACCAAATTAGAATTTTTAGCATTAGCTTTTATTTTGAACCAATAAATTATTTATTTTATTTATTTTGGCCAACTACTACGAAGCCTAAGACAGCGGACATGTATTTTGGAGATAGACGATACACTGATGCTAAGAACACATAATAGTAACATATAATGGAACAAAAAAAGTGCATTGAATGGTTGAGATTTATTTTCAAGATGAATTTCACTATAATGCTGTGTTTGGTTGGAGGATTTGAGGAGGAATTTGGAAAGGAAAAGAGAAAAGTTAAGCGAAATGTGAATAAAATATACTTACATTTCACCTAATTTCACACACCTTTTCCCTTTCCCTTTCCAAATCCTTCCCCAAATCCCCCAATCAAATACTTTTTTATCCAATTTATCAATTATATTATCTGTAAACTATTCTGTGATCCATTCTAATTGGATCTAATCTGGTGGTGCTAGACCATGTTATTTTTGAATGGGCAAATTACATATACACCCCTCGAGGTTTGGCTAAATTACAGATGCTCCCCTGAGGTTTGAGAAATTACGAATTCCCCCCTGAATGCTATATTTGCATAAGAAATTAGGGGGTAATTTGTTATGAAATATAAACCTCGGGGGGCAAATTGTTATGAAAATACAAACCTCAGGGGGCGGGATGTAATTTACGAAACCTCAGGGGGTATTTGTAATTTAGCTAAACCTCGAGGGGTGTATATGTAATTTGCCCTATTTGAATTATATGTCCCAGCAGAGGAACCCATTATCAAGCAGATTTCAATTGTGAGTATTCCCATACAATCACTAGAATCACCGGGGGGAAAACATTATATATATATATATATATATGTTAAAAGGTTTCATTTAGGAATTTAGGAGTAGTGAACACAATTGATTAAGAAACATTAAAAATAAAACAACTGATTAAGTAGTTTGTACAATAACTAAAAAACGATTACAAAATTATTGTATATTTCTTTCAATTAACTTTCAGTGTCGTTTTCAAGAAATTATTTAATGCTTGCTTATATGATGACATTGGCCCAAAAAAATCTTAAATAATAAAGTAGTTTTCAAGTAACTTTCATTTTTCTTTGTACGAAATTATTTAGTGTTGCTTGTAGTACATTGGCCCAATAATACCTAAATAAGAAAGTAGTTTTCAAATGACTTTCAAAGTTCTTTTCAAGAATTTATTTTATTTTGTGCTTACTCATTTTGTTGATTTTTTAGGTTCATGTGTAAATCATTTATTACAAAAATTAAATCAATTCGATAACTGTAACAATATGAACAACAAGTATAATTTTAAGAATATATTACAAACACAGATATAATAAGCTTATATGATTACAATTATCAAATTAAATTTATTTTATTTTTTAATAAATGATCTACACACAAGAATAACAAATAAAATAAATGAATAGAGTGAGTCATCAATTTATGTCCTCAACCATTCCCATTTCCAGTCATTTATAATAGCTAGAAAACTTGGTGCAAATGACTGCACGCCAGCTCTCTTTTAATAGAGAAGTTTTTGTGTGGCTCATAGTTTATTTATCATATATATGGTTTATCCACATTAAATGTGATTAGTTTAAACAATAAATAACCCATTAAATTTTATTTTATTTTTTTACGTCAATGTAAGAATATTTACAATATGAAAAGAACTATAATCAAATATTATGTATACATAATAAGAAAATTTTGATGTGATTTTTTATGTTTTATAAAAGTTGGTTTGGAAAATATCATGAAATTTTTAAGCATGCTGGTAAATTTCTTGGAATATTTTTTATAAAGTAGAAAACATTTTTTTATTGAATATATAGTGATGAATTTTTTATATTAGAACCGCAAAACCAAACAAAAACCAAAGAATTTTTGAAGTCTGGTTCTGATTTGGTTCTAGAGATTCTACAGTTCACTTACGCTGTGTTTGATTAGGGGATTTGAGAAGGGAAATGGAAATGAAAGGAAAAGGAGAAAAAATTAATAGAATTCCAAATCCCAACTATGTTTGGTTGTGTTGGTTATAAAATAGAATTGATGTCCTAAAAGGTCTCCTATTTATTTATTTATTTCTCACCCCCTTTCTTTTCCCATATATTTTTTATTATAACCAAACATAAATAGGATTACATTTCTCATTCCTTTTCCAAATCCCACCCCAAAAACCCCAACCAAACACAGCATTAAGCTCTCAAATTTCTAAAACTTTTTTTGGTAAAGAAAGATTTGTTTCTTGATTCATCTTAAAACAGAACCGAAGCGAACCAAACCAGTTTCATTTCTTTATGCTAAATTTTCAAAGACTGATTAAGTTGGGAATGTTACATTGGCTTTTTTAGGTGAACAATGCAGCATCAACACTACTCAAACATGCTACAGAGAACACTGCTGAAAATTTCTCAAGTTTAATGGCACTTAATGTTGAGTCCCCATTTCATTTGTCCCAACTTGCAGAATTTTTGAAGTCCGGTTCTGATTTGGTTCCAGAGATTCTACAGTTCACTTCATCTCTCAAATTTCTAAAACTATAGCTAAAGAATGATTTGTTTCTTCATTTATCTTAAAACTGAACCGAAGCGAACCAAACCAGTTTCATTTCTTTATGCTAAATTTTCAAAGACTGATTAAGTTGGGAATGTTACATTGGCTTTTTTAGGTGAACAATGCAGCATCAACACTACTCAAACATGCTACAGAGAACACTGCTGAAAATTTCTCAAGTTTAATGGCACTTAATGTTGAGTCCCCATTTCATTTGTCCCAACTTGCACATCCTCTCTTGAAAGCATCTGGAAATGGAAGCATTGTTTTCATTTCCTCAGTTGCTGGTGGGACTGCTCTACCTGCAATTTCAGTCTATGCTGCTGGTAAAGGTATGTGTCACAAAGCATAAAATTTGAAGCCTACAATTCTTCCATTTGTATAGAAACTAATCACAAAATCAAACGCAATGTTCTCACATGGGTGTAGAACTCACGTCAATTGAGAGAGTTATGTCCAATTATGTAATTAAGTTTTGTATTCTTAAATCTTTTATCATTCATAAAGGTTGTTACAATTCAGTAAAGTGAAGTGTGTGATTCATCCAGTTAGATGACATGAAACTGGGTGTCACACCTTAGTTTTTGTAAGCTTTGTGCGTCTCAAATTATGCGTCCTTAGTACTAGTAGAGTTGTAATTTGGGCATGTTTGGTCGGGCTAAGGATTTATTCAAAATCAAAGACTTAAATTAAAAATGGATATACCCAGCCCAACTTTTAGTCCGGATTTGTTTGTCCAAATTTGAGTCCGAGTTTGACTTAAAAGGATTTGGGCTAAGATAGGGTTGTCCAAATTAAACACACACACACAAGCAAACAGAAAAAGAAAAACATCTTCATTGTCTCAAACCAATGTATTGCACTTTCTAAAAATAAAAAACATATCTCAAAAAAAAACCCAAACATAGGACATAAATAAGGAAATTGGTTTCAGTAATGTGTAACAAATAGTAGAATATATTATATTGCAATATTATCGTTAAAAATATGGTCAATAATTTATACATATATTCATGTTTATATTACATAGGTTTTACATGAGCATTGCAATTCAAGACTAAAAAATAGACCCAATTTTCAAGCACGTCAATTAATATATTAAAGGCAACACTCTCTCTCATATCTTCTTAATCATCAACTAATTATATCACTTATACATCATTGGATTTAAAAAATATATTTAAAAAGTGGGTTTGTATATGATTTTCCAATTTACATATATTAATAGATGAATTCAGGTTCTTTGGATTGTAAAATTTCAACCCCAGACACTGTACAAATTTAATTTGGATTAATAAAATTCAGGTCAAACCCTTGTTGAATTTGGAATTATATTGCTATAAGTCTTAAAATTTTGAGAATAAAACTTGAATTGTATCTACCCAGGATTATTATTTCCAGTTTAATGCAATGGCTACAATTTTTTCTTTTTCTTTTTTTTCAGGAGCAATAAATCAGCTAACAAAAAACTTGGCTTGTGAATGGGCAAAGGACAACATTCGCACCAACACTGTGGCACCATGGGCTACCAAAACCACCATCACCAGTCCTGTACTCCTCTTTCTCTCTTGATCTTTTTCTCTCTTTATACAATAACAAGTTTTAAAAAAAAAAAAAAAAAAATTACATAATCAAACATAAAATATATGTATATATATATATATATGGATTAACAAAAAATTTAGAAGTAGATCCTACTTACTAACAAATTCTGTAAAATCTTATCCATTTATATATATTATGTAAGTACTTTTTATATTTGTAATAGAACGGTTAATAGGAATTTTGTGAATTTTGTGTTGCTTTCTTGGGTCCTCCCGAATCAGCTACTTTCAAAACTTAACCAAAATTTTGTAATTTTTAGAAGGGTAAATTACACTTTACACTAAATTTAACTTTCATCCTTAATTTTTTAGTTATAACAATTTACCCCTTTCACTTTTGGTTTAAGTATAATATGGTCATTCCGTTAGTTTAATGTTAAATTTATAATTGTTATGTAACCCGCATATGATGCAATTTTTAAGGGCAAAAATATAATTTTATTTCTCTTTTTTCTTCTTATGCTCTTCTTCTATATTTCTGTATTATTTTTTCTCTCTACTGTATTTTTTAACCCTCCACCACCGACCAGAAGAAGTCTGGTTAGTAGTGATGGACTCAGAAAAAAAACAGTATAATACAAAAATTCAATAGATAAATAGAGAAGAAGAACAGTTCCAAAAAAAAAAAAAAGAATAGAGGAGAGAAACAAAATTACATTTTTTGTGATAAAGAATTATTGGATTATTCAAAAAAAAAAAAAAAAAAAAGAATAGAGGAGAGGAGAGAAACAAAATTACATTTTTTGTGATAAAGAATTATTGGATTAACTTATATACCAAATTCGTTGTCTCCAGGAGGTTGTTGAATCATCCATTGTAGATGCATATGCAGAGCTAATGTTGCGAACTCCTCTCCGCCGCATGGCAGAGCCTGAAGAGGTTTCATCACTAGTCGCATTCCTTTGCCTTCCTGCGGCTTCATACATCACCGGTCAGATCATTTACACTGATGGTGGATACACAGCAGGTTCTTTCTAGTCCAGCCACTGATATCCAGAAGAGACATCAAAGATGGCAATTCATGTTTTGGCTATTCCTCCCTATGGTACTGTTGTTTTAGCATCCATTTAAATAAGCTTCTAGTACTCATACCCAAAATACAAAAACAAAATAACACATTCAATGCACGAGACTTCTACATGGTAGTGCTCGTGTAAGCTTAAGGTTTCAATCTTTTGATCAATGTTCGTTGCGATTGATAATATTTTGGAGTTTTTAAAGTTCTTTATTTTTCTTGAAATTCGCAGTTACTAGTTTGAGAATGATTGTTGGTTGAAATAAAAGCTTGAAGACTATATGGAAACTTTGGTTTTTGAATTTTTGTTAACTGCTTTGACAAAATGATAATGGTATGAAAATAATGGGTATTCTATTTGTTTTTTTAATTTTTTGAAAAACAAAAGCATGACTGACGACAATGATAAGAAATTTAATGAGGGACTAAAGCCATAAAAGAATGACTTCAGGCCTCATCTTAGAAATTGTTCTAAACTCCTTAAATATATCAAAAAATATAAATTACAATGATAGGAAATTTTATGAGGGACTAAAGCTATAAAAGAATGACTTTAGGCCCCATCTTAGAAATTGTTCTAAACTCCTTAAATATATCAAAAAATATAAATTAGAATTGTCTCCAGATTTACCGCAATAAAAAATAAATTTTGTTTCAGACCAATATATGAACATTGTATTTGCAATCCTTTTGATGCACCAAAATCTAGTACCAATGTGAGTGTTTTGACGACATTGTTTGATGCTTGTTGACCAAAGACACATTGTTCCACATCTATGCTGTTTTTCAATAGATGAGTTCTGATTTCGAAGCTTCAGTTGCCCAACTTGCTTTCTATTTTGTGTACTGCAATTGCTTTGATTGACTAAAATTAGAATTGTTTGTATTTTAGAATGTGTGAATCACCATATTTGAGGCAGAAAATTTGCAGAAAAAAATACCAGGTAAAGTAGCAAGATTATAAAAGGCAATTAATAAATATAAAATATACATCATCGTCATGGAACGACTAGATAACAGACAACGTTGTTTGAAACGACCCATGTTTGGTACAATGCAACGAGGGAGTGCATTGAAACACGGACCCATGTTTGGTACTTTAAGACACAGACCTATGTTTAGTACAATACAACCCATGTTGGTACAACACGATGACGGGGAGCATTGAGGTGAGTTCAGATCCTTTCCTTAACTCTCCTCCTTCATTTCCTTCATGCAAGGCAGAGATTCAACCCAGCAGATCCAATGGCTAAAACAAAAACAAAAACAAAAAAAGAAATTCAAAATTGGAATTGAAACTTTCCCGCCCAAAGCATTACACAGCTTGGACAGAGTATACACTCATTCTCACTCAACCTGCTTCTCCTCCACCGAACCCACTCGCATCAGCAACCCACTTTTCCCGGCGATCCACTCCCGACAACGGCCAAAAGCTCTGATTCAAGCAAGCTTATCAGAGTAGATACACCTTCACCGGCGACCAGGTTGAAAGAGACTAGGTTGTGCCAAATGATATCTCATTTGTTGGGATTTTGTCTGCCTATTGCCATGCTGGCGTGATTGATCTTGGTCGTGAAATCTTTTATTCCATGAACAATTATCACATAAGACCCATTTGAACAATTAACAGTCCTAACGAAAGAATAGTTGAAATACAAATGATGACGAAGAGGTGGTCTGGACTCTAATTTACTAAAAGTGGAAACATGATTTGTTATTCCATTCTAATTTTGCCATCATAGAAGTCGAATTTTTTGTTGAAAGTCTGAATTTGCAAGTTTGCATGAGCTATTTGTTGGAATCACCAGTAATGTCAAAGCTCCTGGATTCTGTAATTCGTTTACCTGATTTTTTGTGATGGTTGTAGATGAAAGGTACCATTGGTAAATTACCTTGGCGCCCATTGTTCAGTGTTTGGTCTCTTATATTTGCCCGAGATGGAAACTTGGAAAAGTTAGGAACTGCTGAAATGGATCAATATTTGTTTGTGAACACTAAATTATCCTCGAGAAATGCTTCTTTGATTCATAACAGGGAGAGCGTGGTCTAAATCATGTCTTAACCACTGTAATGAACTTAAAAAATAAACGAGTAGTTATGTGATCAATTGTGAGAGTTGAAGTGGTTCAATATTGCGGCTCGATGGTTTCTCCATGCTAGGCATGGAATTGGTGTTGAAAGTGTCTTGTATCCGCATTTGGTAAGTGTTGTTTTCAGTGGCTTGTGCTTGCATGGGGTTGGTGCTGAAAATGTGCTATCTAATTGTCTTATTTTCCCCCTTTTCTTTGCTTATGTTTTCCATTTTTATCGGGGAAAAGCTTGAGCAGGTTATGCTACTATATTAGTATAACAGATTACCACTGATGAAATTTCTTATGTTTTCATCCCAGTGTTTTTAAAACACGTCTTGCTTCTAACATGTCCAAATAAATAAATAACTTTCCTTCTCACTATTTTTCCTTTGCACATCAAATATTGGATGACTTGATTTGTCGCTTCTCTAAGATCTCTTCTTTGATAACTTTACCTTTTTCATACATAGTTTTTGATAAATATCTAACCAAAGTGAATCCCAATTGTCAAGAGGTTTTAACCTTGGCTGTACCAAGATTCAATTCAACTCCTGAATTCTAAATATAATTTTTTTATTCTTGGTTTTGAATAAGTGATTCAAGCTTGTAGAAGATGTTTGAAGAACAACTTCAATTATGCTGCAACCTGCAAGAAATTCATTCTGGGTTTCATGTAGGTTGGATGTTGGACCAACCTACTTTTAACTTACCCAACTTATTTTTAGATAGGATAACAAGCAAGAAAGCAAAACAAACATCAACCAGATCCAACATCACGAAGGACAAACGACAACACCAAAGACCAAACCCAGCCAACTCAGTCAGAACCCTAAAAAACATCGATCACTGTCCGGAGCCTCTTTTTCTTTTTTCTTTACTGGCATAAATTAGAAGATCAATCGTTAATAGATGAACAAGAAATTCAGTTACATGTATGAAGATCATACAGATCAGACCAGTGCCAAACACATATATAGAGTAGATACACCTTGCTTGAATCAGAGCTTCTCGCCGTCGTCGGGAGTGGGTCGCCAGTGAGGATGGGTTGCCGGTGCGGGTGAGTTGAGTGGAGGAGCAGCGGGCTAAGTGAGAGTGAGTGTATACTTTGTATAAGCTGTATAATGTTTTGTGCGGGAAAATTTCAGTTTCAATTTTGAATTTTTTTATTTTTTTTATTTTTATAGCTGCTGGATCTGCTGAGCTGAATCTCAACCGTTGCACGGAAGAAATGAAGGAGAGTTAAGAAGAGGATCTGAACTCCATTGAGACACAGACCAATGTTGGGTACAATGCAACAAGGGGGTGCATTGAGGCACGGAAAAATGTTATAATCTTGTACCAATTAATAAAGATCTGGACCATGTAAATATAAATTTCTTGAGCACTGTTTTCTTACAAGCCAATTTCAAGAGTGAATTCTATATAAGAAAGAATTTCATATCATATTTCCCATCATGAACACTAGTCCAATTTTTTACCTACACTACATGAACACGATCTTTCGTGACTAACTCCATTTTAAAGATTTCATAATGTGCCAAAAAATGGTATGATTTTCTAGAGCTGAGACAATTGCTGCCACTAGTGCACAGCTACATTGTTATCTCATTTTCTCCTCTGTAGTGTCCATCTTAAATCTCTATTTTTTTTAGCATTTTCATTCTTTCTCAAATGCTTATTAGCAAGGAGCATATTGGCATCTAAACTGCCATGAACTTGTAAATAAATTAACAATCCCAGACAAGCATTCGTGTCAGCTAAAATGCTTTTGTCATGCAAAGATGATGTACAGATATCAGCAATTTCAGGTCACGGAAAGATAGTAGACTCCTAAAACAAACTCACTTGTTACACACAAGTTCCCAGATAGATAGAAATCATACTTGAAAGCATTTTTTTTTACCCCCTTCAAACCAGGGTGTGAAATCCATTATATCTTGCATGAAATTGGACATTGGTTATGCTGCAGTAGTTGCATCAGTGGCCAGAATATATCCAATCTGTGGAAGCCCCTCGAAGCCTGTACTCAGCAGAATAATATGCTTCAGATTACAAAAATAAACAAAGAAGGGTACCCAAATTTGGTCAAAATAAGGTATGTTTTGTAGTGCAAGGTTTGTAATTATCAAGTACCTCAACAATGAAGTGAGCCCACGTATTGTTTGAACGACTCTCCATCATACCCTTCAAGATCGTCAACTCCAAACGACAGATAACCTCAGCAATCTCCATGAAGAGCCCATGATCATTGCAAAGCATCTGTTATAATCATCAGAGTTAGAACATCCACGTGAGAGCACAAATCTAAGCAAATACAACATAACAATATCAAGCAATGGAACAGACCTCTATTAGCATGTGTCCTGGGTATTCAAGATCTTCCACAACTATGGGGCATACTTGGAGATCACTTCCCAATTCAAAAGCCCAGCTTTTCCCATTCTTACTATCACCCTTGGTACCACATGTTTTCATATTCTTCCGACCAATTACCTGTTGAGCAATTTAATTTGCACATATCTCAAAAACCTCAAAATATTGCACTTCATAAGTATACACCTGAATCTACTCAACTCTAATAAACTAAAAATGATATTGTTCAGACTATGATCATATGATTTCCTTTTTTGAATAGTTAGTGTCACAAACTATTTGGTTGTTAATCATTGAAGTCATGAACCATCCATTATCACGAGTTAAGAAATGATCTTGGTATATAAGTAAATAAAGAAAACAAACACACCCAAAAACACGCGTGCACACCAAATCTCAAAACTAAAAGGAGGTGCCAATATTATGGTGTAGTGCAAGTAACCGTTGAATTTCAAACATAGACCCAGTTGAGAAATTTATGATTCATTGAATCATCAGAATCAGCGTTCTAGGATCCAATGAATATATTCCGTCAATAAAGGTTGTTTGTTACTTAAGCCAGCTTCAGTAACCGACATGGTTGTTTGGCTCATCAATTGCTGGTAGATAGCATATAAAACGATTCAGTCCAACACGTTCAGGGGCGTCAAACACAATCTTTTTTGTTCACCAGCGAAATTCGTTTCTATCCTTCTCCCATTGCTCTCATACCAATAATTTTCTGTGCGCAAAAACTTAAAATAGCCTGCCTGATTACCCAGTGGATCCTAGTCTTCTAGTATATCCTTGGATAATTGTGCTACAAAATAAAGATGAATACCCCATAAAGGTGATGTGACCAAAAAATAAATAAATCATAATTGGTAAATTAACCAAGAACAACAAAGTAGTCCTCCATGAAAGACTTCCATAATTTATTTACGAGACCACCATCAAGTCAAGGAAATCCAGCAATCTTACGAAAATAATAATCTAGCCTATCTATGTATCAAAAGTTATGCAAGAAGTTAAAATACCTAAGCAACCTAAATAAACAAAGCCTCACCCACTTGGGATTGACTGAATTCTTCTAACCATCCAGCTTTGTCCTAGTAACATCCCCCATAATTCGGCATGCCATCATATCAATTTTTTTCCCCTTGACCCATGTTCTCGTGAGCCTTCCAACAACCTCAATTTTAATCAGATCAGCTTATATTCAAATAACATTCCATCATTTTAACCGACATTGCTGCTACCTCTTGCAGCTGAAGGTAAATTCAGTTCTTATTTTATCCCTTCCTAAATGGGGGTTGAAAACCAAGTGTATTTTTCTCTTTAAGTTGAAACTGTTGAGCACATGTTTACAAAGTGAGTGTAGCCAAATGAGAACACACCCATTTGGAAAAACTTATATATTAGAAAAAGCATCTTTAAACCTATCTTTAAAAGAGTAACTTTTTGAGCCTTTTTTGGGCTGAAAAATGAAATAAGCTGAAAACATTAAAAGTTTTATCGAACACTAAATTTTCAAGGTACAACTGCTTAAGCATAGAATTTTAAATTTTAAGCTAACTAAGATGCAAATAAGTTTTGCCAATGTTGAAGGAGTTTGCTTAAATATGTCCTCAAGTAAATTTATAATCTTAGACCCATCAGTGATTTCATATATAATCAATCTGAAACAATACTAAATCCCAACTGATGGGATCAGTAATATGATTCCCTTCTCAAATGCTTTTTATTTTATTTTTTATAACCATGATTCCTTTTTCAAATGCGCACCAATACTTTTTGATTGAAGCTCTCCCTGTTATTTGAGGAGGCGTTCCTTTCAAGTTCTGGGAAATTTTATTCTTTTAGAATTCTGAGATTGATTACCCAGAGCTCACTTTTAAGATGTCCTAAAAATATACAATGAAATATGTCGTATTCAACCAATTTTTGGGTAATCAGCAGTTCAAAGGCCGGGCCAACCAGCAATATGGGTATTGAGGGAGGCAAGACGTGAACCCTTGACCTCCTAGTGTGCTATCCTTTATTTCCAACTAATATCTGTGTCAGAAAATCAAAATGATTTTATTCTACCTGACAAAAAGCTGACTTGTTAAAGAGATGGTTCACACATAAAGCTGAACAATTGACATGACCAGGAAAGAAAAAAAATCCAAATAATACAGACAACCACTTACCTCTTGATGAACACACTGCCTTAATTTATCAGCCTGATCAGTAACACTTCTTAAGAACAGCATGTGCTTTATAGTTCTATCCAAGAGGCCATCAATGCTACACTGTATTTTTCAAGGAAAAGAAAGCACTCTATTATTTCAATGAGAGAGAGTGATAGAGATCAAAAAGAGACAACCTATCTGAACTGCAACAGATGCAGACCCTGAAAAGCAATCACCTTTGAACTGTATGGGACAAGTTGCCGTAGTTCTTTGACCCTATCCAGGATCAATTGCCTATCCCTTGGTCTTGACCTCTGTTTTTCACCTGGTCTAGCCCTTCTTTTGTGGTCATTAGAGAGCTTTGACCCTTTTCTGGTCTGCAGATAACCATTGGCTTTCTTCTTCTGCTTCTGTTCAGTCAATGCACTGATCATATTGTCAAACGAAGAAGATGGAGGAGATTCAGTAATAGCATTTTGGCAACCAGCACCGGATGCACTTGTCACAGAACCCCATGGAACTCTTTTCCCCTCCACAAATGCAGTTTCTTCAGGTTGACTTTGTGATTTGTTGGAAGCAGCAAATTGCCCCATTGATGTAATAGATAACTTGACATCATTGGGTTTTGTAGACAAATTATCATTCAAACCACCATGCATACTGGCAACTACAGCATTCAACTGATGTGCTTCATCTCTGTTGGCAAACAATCCACTGGATTCCCAGGTTGATGGCTCAATACCATGGTTAAGATCTTTTTTGAAGGTCTTGTTTAAGCTACTACATGCATCCTCACCTGAGAGAGATGAGTCCCACAGATATTCTTTGGCCTGTCCTAGGAAAGCAGGTCCAAGTGCATCGTGCAGCTCATTGTCCATGGGAAAGTTAAAGAAACTATTTACATTTTCATGACCTCCATTATCAGGATCCTTGTCTACAAACGGCTGTTCCATCATATGTTCATTAGAATAAGAGTTGATAACTACATTGGAGTTCTGTCCGAATAAACCCACATTGTAGTTATCAGAATAAGAGAACTGTAATTCTTTGTCCAAACCAGAAACTTCGACCACACTACCCTCAATCATCTCTGACTCTGTATCATTTAGTGATTGATTGAGTGGTTGTGATACTTCGATTAAACCCATAGATTGGACACTGATTTTGTTTTCCCTTGTGCTATTAAGATTATCTACCACCTCTTTTCTAGATATGTGACGTGCATCTTGAACCAGACACACACGTGTCATTTGATTAGTAGTTGACAATATATTGTTTGTTGGTTTGACATTGTAAACAGCCTTCGAATTTTCAGATTTTATTTTCTTCAAAGCAGTGGCTGACGACTCATCCAAGTTATTCATGTCAACAGGCACAAGTGACAATGATGTCTGAGCTACAAATTCCCTGCTGATAAAAGGTAATATATCCATTGCATTCTGATAGGCATTGAACTTCTCTCTGACATAAGCAACCAAAGCCGGATATTCAGCAACCTGAAGTTTTGACAAGAGCCATACATGAGATGAAATTGAAAACCCAAACAGCAAGCACACACATAATCACAAAAACACATGTACGCATTTGTGTGTGTGTGTGTGTGTGTGTGAGAGAGAGAGAGAGAGAGAGATGAAAAAGTTGTCCTTCACAGGGAAAGGAAGCAAGCATCACATTCATGGAACATGAATAAACCATGCAATGCTTTCAAAATCATGATGATCTATGGCTTTGGCATCCTTGACATGATTGCATGTTGCACACGTTTCCATTATATAATGGGATACAAAAAGAACTGCTAACATCACTAAAAGAAGATTCAAGAAGGCATCTGACCACGATACCAAAAAATGCCCTTCTATCGATGAAAACACACCTTTTCCAATGAGCCAAGTTGCAAAACTCCACATGGAACAACAGGCACTAGCAAAATCGTCTGCATGGGAACCACATGAAAAATCAACAAATTATTTATTCAGAGAAGCCAATTTGTGGTTCAACTGGCCAGAGGATACACCCTCCACTCACAATATATGAAGTTCAACCCACTGTTATAATGTAACTGAATAGTAAGTTACCTTGATACCAGCTGCAAGCTGAGGTAGCCATTCATCTGGACACTGCCAATGGAAGAATTACATTAAGATAATCAGATCACTGCTGGCAGGACCATGGACTATAGCCATTTACCCTTGGCAGAATTTTAGTCAGCTATGTCATTTTGAAACTCACCTCATGAACTACCTTAGATGTGAATTCACCAGCTGCTACATTGTCAAATAGAACCCAGCAATGTTTCCCTGTATATGCCACTTCACCAACAACCCTGCTTAATTTCAGTGTTACAATCAGTTACCATTATCTGACAATGTCCTCCATCTCAAACATAAGTAAAACACAGATCATATTATTTTGCAGTTACTTAAAATGGAAGCTGAAAGCCACCTGCACGGGACTCATGGGACTCCAGACACAGCCACATGATGTTTTCCACAAACAAGGAATCTAATCTCCTTGTTGTCACATAAGCAACCAAGTGAGTGCATAGGGCATCATTTTTGCAGGAAGATGTCACAGTGGGTTACTTGGCATCTTAGTGGTTATCTATGTGGGTTCTTACAACTCATTCATGTGGCACAATTTTGAGGTTTTACTCTGGTCTTATGGGATGCATGGGTAGTTTGAGTTATCTATGTCTTCTTTTGTAGATTTTAATGATGATCTTCAAAAAAGGATTTGACTACCTAGGGAGAGAATTGTTCATCCTGCAGCGAGAATTCTACCAGTCTTCTGTGTGGAACTATATGGTCTCAGTCTTCTGTGGGAACTAAATGGTCAAAGTCTCTACAAGGTTGCTTGCTCAGTGTTTTAAGTTATTTGTCCATCCTTCCCAATCAAACGTCTACCTTGGTTGCTTAAAATGATACCTCAACTAACAAAGTCATATATTATGCAACTCATTGTGAGCAGAACAGTGTGTGACAAAGCCTGACAAAGCCTAACAAAAGACCCTTAAATTTGAGTTTGGAGGCTCCAAAGAGGAGTGACCAACATAACATTATAGGGTAATTAGTTATGATGTGAATATGTGCAAAATTAGATTGAAGAGTGAGTAAACAAGTACAGTGTTACAATAACACAAGTCAAGCACAAGAATTTACCCTTCTCCCCATGGATATTGAACACTTTCCATATCAGCCACCACTTGGCCAATCGGATATTCACCTAAATGTCCATCATGTCTACTTGATCTCCAACTAGATGAAACTATCTCGTTGGATCCATCAAAGCAGATGTCGTCCAGTATGCTTTCCATGGCTGCTCTCAGTTTCAGATGATCATAGCATCCATCTTCCCATGTCAAAAACCTGAAAGAACAGGCAACTCAACATCAACAACAAAGTAGCTTGTGTTTACCGTCCATAGTACTTGCCAAAAAAGAGATCATCCATGGCACATGCTCAGTGCAGACCATTATCTATAAAAATAATTATTTTAATATGTGAAGTAATAAAATAAAAAAAGAAAAGAAAAATACTACCATATGGATTTATGACGAAATTACTTCCTACAATTTCTGGACATTGTTTAAAATGATACTCCACATTCATATTTTAACAATTTTTCCCTAAAGTGAAAAAGGGATTAAGCTCTTTACAGATGCTATTTGTATGAAAATAAGTGGACAATCTAAAATACCCAAAAGATGCTTATGTTGCAGAATTGCAGATCCATTAGAACTATGTCAGAATTACAGGTAGTAGCAAAATGGTCATAAGCTCATTATGGACCTAGTAAAAAATGTATACTAGAATCAGACCCCTAAAAAAGCTTAGTAATAAGCAACAAGAGAGGGAAGATCAAGTTTGTCAACTAGTTAATACTTATAAAAAGAAAATACATGTCCAACTCTAATTTTTCAACCGTCCAAAAAAACATCCTAAGATTTGGCTTACTATGGACCCAAGTGAAACTCACTCCCTCACTCCCCTTTATCACATGATATAAAACCAATGTCATATACAAAATGCAAAATTCATTTGGCAACATTTTCTAAAATATATAATCTCATTAAAGTGATTAAATCATAGACTAGCATTGTGATATAGAGCTGTAGGTAGGTACTAGGTAGGCAGCTAAAATCAACAAGAAGTTCACATGAAACAATGAATCAAGAACATACACACTTGGCCAATGCTAACCATCTATTCATTAGTCCAGACTTCTGAACAAAGAGCCAAGTTTATTGGGTTGAAACAGATATTATCCAAATTGAATTACATTCCAACATAAATACACAAACTGGGATGCAATAAAGGTACGCAATACTCTTATCATTAATCTCTAAATGTAAAGAGAGTATAAAATCAAATCCTATCAATTCACTAAATGAGTCTTAGAATTAGCAATAATATATAATTAAAAAAAAAGGAGTAAATTTTAAATAGAATTTATACAATGAATAAAAGTAGGTATAACATTATTATAAAAGGATCTGAAAAAATAATAATAATAAACTAAATAAAGAACCCAATTGACCTCGTTTCGTACAGATCTTTCGAAAAGAAATGGCTTAGAACTTACATTTCATTCTGCTGCTGAAGTTTCCAAAATACTGCATAATTCCAACAAGAATTGTGGCACAGACTCCACAGGAACTGCCTCAGTGGGGTAGTCCCCATATGTTAATTTCTCCAGAAACAAAAAAGTCCAGTCGATCAAATACTTAAATCAGTCAAATAATTGCTAAAACTCTGACTAACTGCCCCGATATGAACCTCGCCCTGCTTGTTTAATCCGCAATCCTGCTCTTCGTTTTATTGGTGGCCCCGTCAAAGTTGATCGCCACCCCATGGCTAAACCCCTCCCAGAAAATATGTGACCGCAGATGTAAAAGCGTCTAAAGATAGCAAGATGTAATGAAGAAAGTTATGTTTCTTCCCTTTTCCAATGAGCTCTCCATCAATTTACAACTAATAATGGAGTCCAAAATTTTGTAAAAAGAGATTAGACTCCCTGTGAACCACAATGATACGCTTCAGCTTCAAATCTGCCTTTTGAGGACGATAACAAACCTTTACTTTAAAATATTAATGTGTATAAGCAATACAAACAAATGACCTCAAAGAAGTCAAACTCAAAAGATCGATATTTGCAAAGTCAATGCAAACCAGGCACCTGAAGCAATAAAACCAATTAACATTAGGTAGTTGCAACAACAAAAACACCCTGTCAGGTTGCTAACAAATTTTTTTTTTTTTTTTTGGATTCATAAAAGGTTGCTAACAAAATTGAAGATTCAAAAAAGGAGTACAAAATCTTAACCAAATTATATTAGGTGGCCAGCCTTGTCCCACTTGTCAGATATCAAAGAAACATAATAATTTTCTTTTCTTTTCTTTATTTTTTTAAATCAGTAAAGCAACTTGATAATCGAAATCCAATTTGTTTTCTCTTCTATTCTACAGTTTCTCGGCAACCAAACACAGGTCAAGCAAAATGCGAAAATAGATTTCAACCGCATATAGTTTTAAAGGAATCTCCAATCCCTGACCCAAACCTACATTTGGGTATAAACTCTCAAATCCTTGACCCAAACTTACACCAACTTCAATTTTAATCCAACTAGCGGTTGCCACACGCGATGCGTGTGCAATTCAAATAAATAAAAATAAAATAAAACATTTGTCATATATTGGCCCTGTTTGGTAGAGCTGTGGGAAAGTGCTTATAGCTTATGCCTAAACAGCTTATAGCTTATAACTTTCAGCTTAAGCTGATTTCCAGCTTATTCTTAAAGCATCTCCTGCCTCACTCAAAGAATAAGCTGTTTTCTGACTTCCACAAAGCTATAAGCTATAAGCTATAAGCTAAACCAAACACATCAAAATAGCTTAAATTAAGCTGAAAGCTGAAATTAAGCTGTACCAAACAGGGTCATTGTGTGTTAGTTAAGTGATAAAAGTCTTACTTATTTGACATAAGTTTAAGGTTCAAATCCCCTCCTCTCATCTATCTAATTTTTTTTTTTATTTCAAAGAAAAAAGTAGACACATAGCAGTATAAGAAACAAAGGTTTCAAGACAATATAAGATGTGTTCACTTTATAATAGTATAGATTTTTACCCAAATTAAGGAAGATTAAAACTTTCAAGGCTATTTTGTGGCTCTCAAATTTACCACTTTGCGAAGCTTTTACTTCAATTTATGTTTAAATCTGAGTTTGTCGTCAGAGTGGTTAATGTTAGGCCATCTCCAACCCTTACTCATATTTGATATAGACTGCTCCAATGGCCAAATTCAAATTTAAGTAAAAGTTTTACAAGGGGCACAACTGTAAATTTACCGCATATAGTTTTAAAGGAATCTCCAATCCCTGATCCAAACCTAAATTTGGGTATAAACTCTCAAATCCTTGACCCAAACTTACACCAACTTCAGTTTTAATCCAATTTTTACCCAAATTAAGGAAGACTAAAACTTTCAAGGCTATTTTGTGGCTCTCAAATTTACCACTTTGCGAAGCTTTTACTTCAATTTATGTTTAAATCTGAGTTTGTCGTCAGAGTGGTTAATGTTAGGCCATCTCCAACCCTTACTCATATTTGATATAGACTACTCCAATGGCCAAATTCAAATTTAAGTAAAAGTTTTACAAGGGGCACAACTGTAAATTTAGAAGCTACTATATCATCCCAAATTGCTTTTAGAAATTTGAGTTAAAAAAAGGGAGGTCTCCCTTGATTTGGATCAAAATTTGAGAAAAACTCATTTTGGTATGAGTTTGAGTAAAGGAGTGGAGAGAGATTTTGAGCATTTTTACTCAAATTTTGATTTAGGGCTGGAGCAGATGACCTCTACTACAAAAAAATGAAATTTGACCTAATACAACTGCGTTGCTTATGATAATGAAAATTATGTTACTTTCTCTTCTGTTCTAGCAATTTTCTCGGCAGCCAAACACAAGTCCAAAAAAAAAAAAAAGTAATGTAATTTCATACCGAGAATTGAAGAGAGTTCAGATGAAAGGGCGTCTAGTGAGTTCAATTTCGGTAGCCTCCATGGCCTTCACGAAAATCATACCGAACCTCAACACAGAGAAACGATTGTAGATGTATGTGATGATACTGATGAAGATGAGAAATGGAGGAGGATGAATCGATGAGAAGGAGTGGCCAGACTAGGCACTTTTTCACTCACTCCCACTGTGTCGCACACTGGGCTTTTTTTCCGTTGATGATTTTTATATATAGGGGTTGTTTGGGAAAGATAGTTGGATTATACTGCTTATTTTGCAAAATAATTTAAAAGTCACTTTGTTATTTTTTTTAATTTTTATAAGTCTATATATTTTTTTCAAAAAAAATTTAAAATTAAAAATTTGACTTTTAATTTACTTTATAAAAATAAAATAAATTAAGGTATTACAATAAAATATTATATATAATTCATAATTTTTTATATCATATATAATTCATAATTTTTTATTTTTTTATTTAAAATTATCAAATTAATTATAAAAAATTAATTAATTTCTCAAAAAAATAGGTCATACTGGGCCGCTTGCTACTGGTGTGGTGGACACTTTTTCTGTGTGTGTGTATCGGATTTCAAATTGTCTAAAGTTGGATTTGATAATTTGAAAAGCGACACAAATGGAACTCTGGACCCACACACTCGTTGAAACAAAAAAGTACCACTGGTTTTTACACGCGGGTCCAAGGTAAAATTATTAGGCAAAATATAAAAACGTGGAGAATGGAAAAATAATTATAAAATAATAAATTTATAAGTGATTTATACATTTAATTATATAAATAAATCTTATATATTTATCTGTTGGAAAAAAAATTCCATTAAATTTAATGAAAAGGTAAATTTTAGGAAAATTAAAAAAAAAATTGATAGAAGATTGGGAGTAATGAAAATTTTTACACAAATTTATTATTTTTTTAAAATTCACTTAATCCAAAAATATTTTTAAAAAATAGAATAAACACAAAACATTAGTATATATATTTTTTGTATTTATCATTATTTTTACCGTTCAAACCTATGTTGGGTTTGCGGAACCCACCACATATCTAAATTATTCATTTTTTAGATCATAACCTCCAACAATGTTAGTTTATTATATTTGTCTCTAAAAAAAATTAACAATCTTTAATATTCGTAATATTTATCTTTTTTTTTTGTAATGAATTTTTTTTATTCCCACTCTGCAGTTTTGTTGTCCTAATAAATATTAATGATTATTATTTTATCAAACCAACCAGTAGTAGCTCCACCTCAACTCATTTAAATTTGACTATTTTTCTTAATAATGTTTTGTTTGTTTTGGTGAAAATTATTTTATTTTTCATATTTTTTTAGATTTAGTATAATAAGAAAAAAAAAATTAGGAAAAATATTTTATATTTTTAAAAGACAAAATATTTTCCAAACTAAAATACCAATACCACCACTACCATGGTCATGACCAACATCTATCATTGTCACCGCCACCTTCATCACACCACCACTGCCACCACCTTTACCATCTCCATCCCATCACTACGGCCACCACTACGGCTATTGTTATCACTGCCACCACCCCAACACCTCAACCTCCACGTCTACCCAATCGCCGCTATTACTATCATCACTAATGCAACTATTAGTACATTAATTTTAAAAATACAACCAAACATAATAAAAATATTTTTCGTAGAAAATAATTTTAAAAAAAAAATTATGTAAGAAAATATTTTTCACTGAAACAAATAAAGTGTAAATGAATTAGAGTCTAATTTTTAAACTCGTTCGTGAAGCAAATGAAACACTTAATGATGGGTATTTTTTTTATAATTTATTCATGATTTTTTCCTCTTAATATACAAATTAATTTAAGTTTAATTTTTTTATGCTTAAGTTCAATTTCTGTATTTAGTTGAGTAGAGCTTAAATTTTTCAAAACTTAACGATTTGAACTATTACTTGACTTAAACTTGACTCGACAAATTTTTAATAAACCGAACTCAAACAACCCAAAGATTCTTGTCTAGTATTTATAGGCCTCACAAAATTCAATTGTTCATATAACACTCACAACTTTAAACAATATTTAATTTTATTTATTTATTTTTAAAACAAATTAATAATTAAAATAATAATATTTGATATCGGATTTATTTGGTTAGAACACGTCATATTTAAAATAATAATAATTTAACTAACTCCTCATCATGTCGTATCAAGTCACATAAAAATGAAGATTTTAAAATAAAATATTCTCAATTTGATTCAATAACCTAGACAAATTTCTAGCATATAATTTGACAAGAAGAGTAAATTTTCTATAATTGGAACTATATGAGATAATGCCTATTTGAAATGTTGGCCAATAGCACGAAAGCAACATAGGCTCACATCAATAATTGCAATTATTAAATTTTGGTCAAAAGCATCAATTTTGCTAAACAACATAAGCTAACATTTGACATCTGCATTACAAAAATAAGTAAATACAACAGGTAGTGCTACCATACATATACTTGGCAATAGTTTTTTTAAATAAAAAAAAAAATTACAAACTTTCTTGCCTTTATTGATTTTTTTTAGATTTATGCCATTTTTTTTTATTCCATCAAAATATTTGCTTAATTTTGTTTAATAAAACAATTATTTTTTTAAAAAAAAATTATGACATGTATGCACTAACCAAACGAATGAATCATGAAATTTATTTGGACATGATGTCAACATAATAATTAACGTTACTAAAAATTAATGACTTAATTAATTGTTTGTTAAAGTATTGCACTCAAAATCATCATGTATACTCAACAATATGTAGGCCTCAAGTTTCACCACTAACATGATATAATGATGGTAATTAAATTATCAAAAGTTGTTCTTAATTCTATGTTTGGATTTTAAATTTATTTAATAAAAAAAAGATGCAAGAGAAACGAAATTATCAATACATATTCATTTTTATGAGTAATCAAACAAAAAATTATAATTTTGTGGCTAATGATTTCATTTCCTCATTTTCCTAGCTCAACAAAACCAAAAAAAAAAAAAAAATTGTTTGGTTTGAGTTTTCTGAATTCACTATTCAGAAAATTAAAACTTTTTGTTACCCATATTTTTTTTATTTTTACTGAATTTTTTTAATATTTGAAGCAATTTTATTTTTATTTTTATTTTTAGATACATTTAACATAAATATGCTTAAAAAGTATAATATTTGTAAGAAAAATCTTTAAAAAAAATACTAAATACCAAAATACAAAAAAAAAATTATATAAAAATTTAGTACATTTTTCATATTTTTTTTGTATTTATTGATTTTTTAAAATATTTTTTTACAGATATTTACTTTTTAGATGCATCTAAGTAAGGTAAATCTAAAAAGTAAAAAAAAGAATTGCTTAAAATTTTAAAAGTATTCACTTAAAACAAAAAAAAAATTAAAAAAATAAAAAAACTCATTTTCTAGAATTTGAATTCAGAAAATTGAAAACCAATGCACTAACCAAACGAATGAATCATGAAATTTATTTGGACATGATGTCAACATAATAATTAACGTTACTAAAAATTAATGACTTAATTAATTGTTTGTTAAAGTATTGCACTCAAAATCATCATGTATACTCAACAATATGTAGGCCTCAAGTTTTACCACTAACATGATATAATGATGGTAATTAAATTATCAAAAGTTGTTCTTAATTCTATGTTTGGATTTTAAATTTATTTAATAAAAAAAAGATGCAAGAGAAATGAAATTATCAATACATATTCATTTTTATGAGTAATCAAACAAAAAATTATAATTTTGTGGCTAATAATTTCATTTCCTCATTTTCCTAGCTCAAAAAAAAAAAAATTTTGTTTGGTTTAAGTTTTCTGAATTCGCTATTCAGAAAATTAAAATTTTTTGTTACCCACATTTTTTTATTTTTACTGAATTTTTTTAGTATTTGAAGCAATTTTAATTTTATTTTTATTTTTAGATATATCTAACATAAATATGCTTAAAAAGTATAATATTTATAAGAAAAATCTTTAAAAAAAATACTAAATACCAAAATACAAAAAAAAAAATTATATAAAAATTTAGTACATTTTTCATATTCTTTTTGTATTTATTGATTTTTTAAAATATTTTTTTACAGATATTTACTTTTTAGATGCATCTAAGTAAGGTAAATCTAAAAAGTTAAAAAAAAAATTGCTTAAAATTTTAAAAGTATTCACTTAAAACAAAAAAAAAATTAAAAAAATAAAAAAACTCATTTTCTAGAATTTGAATTCAGAAAATTGAAAACTAAACACAGTATTTAGTTTTTTTTTTTTCTTTTCTTTTTTCATTTGCTTCTCCAATCTTCCACTTCCCTTTATTTTCTCTACATAATTTAAAATTCAAATACAACACAAAAGAATAATTTTCACATTTCTCATTCTTTAATATATATATATATATATATAACACTACAACAAAAGTAGGGGGTTTGGGATTGGCCTTTTTAATATTTTTTTAAAATCTAAAAAGAAACTAAGTTTTTGGGAATTACCAAAAAAATTACTTTTTAGTTTTATTTTTATATATAGTGAGAAACCTAACTTTTTTAACTCTTCTTAAACAGGCTTTTGAACATATTTCTCAAACTCAAAAGTTATTTTTAAAATTATATTTTGAAAACATACTTTCATGCTTATAATCATGGTTTCAAAACACTTCACTAACAAAAATGAATTTGAAAAATAAGCTAAAAAGTGCTCGAGTTTGAAAATTTTATTGGGATGTAATAAAATTAAAAAATTCTACCTTCAAGGGTCAATTGGTTAATTTTTTAGGTGCAAAACTAAAGTTCAATTAGGACAAATATCCTTATAAGATATTGGAATGAAAGCGATCTGGTTGAGATGGATTCAAATCGCTTATGGCTCTTTCCTAAGATTTATTACTAAAACATCATTTTCAAAGGAAAGAGAGCTTCAACAGCTACGAAGGTTCCTCGCCTAGTATTATAAGCTGTAAAATGACACTCATATGGTGAGTGACGTAAGGGTTTCATTTCATGGGATTTCCATTACTTGTAAATACATTTCGAGAGGGATTTACATTGCCAAACAAGTATAGGAACCCAATTGGTAGATTAAGTTGACATCTTTTTATAAATTGACATTTTTAAATCGAATGGACTTGTCTCCTATTCATAGTATAGACTAAATCAGTATAGTTC